AAGAGGATCTTTCTTTTATAATTCATGTCTTATCAAATGTATTCTGGAAGAGAGTACAAGTCTTTTTGCTTCTATCAGCTAGCTCAGAAGAAAAGCTTTGCCAATTAGATCAGCAGGTTGTAACTCTAAGCGAAGTATTCATACCAAGGCACCATCTGCATCTACATCTTTTCTTTACTTGATGTCTTGATCTGATAACTTTTATTTCTTCAATCAGTTGATATCAATTTCCTTTCATTTAACTAGTAAATCACCCGTGCGATGCACGGTTGGAGAATTGCTATCCCATTTTTTTCTTTTATAATGTTTTCAAAACAATCGACACAAAAGATTTATTCACAACAATACAAAAGCGTTGGTGATAAGTTACAAAGTACACAATTCAAGATCAGCAAATATTAAACATAGAAATGAACTATAGGCATTTGTTAAAAACGGAACGGAATGCAACATTACACGTTATTGAAAACTTCTTTATAAACCACATTTTGAATAGAATTCGACATCTTGCCGCTATCATTTGCATATAAGAATTTTCAAACCACGCATGTTGGTTAGTCTTGAAACTACAACATAGAGTTGTCCATGCGTGAACATGGGTTTCCTCAACATCAAACCCACACGGGACAATGATTGACTCTGACTTTTATTTATAGTCATAGGATATGAAATCATAATGAGGTACTGTCGTCTCTAAAATCTGAAAGGCAAGTTGGCATCGGAGGGAGTCAAGGACAATCGAGGAATCAACACTTTTTGTCCGGCACTAACACCAGTCAAAATTTTCCCCTCCAAACCATGATCACAAAGCTTGGTGAGAATGAGCCGAGTACCGTTACACAACTCCATGGAATGATCAATATTTCTGAGAAGCATGGTTGGGGTCCCAACCTTTAATGCCAACTTGTGATTCTGTACACCAGACAATTTAATGCTATTTAGGAATTCATGAGTGTGCGTTTCTGCCATTAGATCAGTCGTAGAATCTACCTTTGACACGCTGTCAGAACTAAGATAAGTCATGTTTGAGTATTATTACATCCAAAATACACAACACATTGGAATGGCAAGCTAATATGTGGAGGTGCTAATGAATGCTTGAGAAATTAACACATTTTGTCTCGCACTAACCCTTATTAAAATCCTTTCTTCCAGTAGAATTTTAGCAAAGAATTTTTCAATATTAAAAGGTTTAGAAATTTTAGTTATGATGAAGGAAAATTATTTATAATGATTGGGTAATAGGGCGGCTTTATATCTATATGAATTGCATTGGTTAGACGAATTGCATTAGTTAAACGAATTGCTTTTGTAAACTGGCAAATCAAGGGGGTGTGCAAATATGTGAAAATATGTTAAGTCATTCTTAAACTATGCGTAAATATAAATTTATGTGAACATGTTCAAATAAGTCATCTACTTTTGTAGAGGACAAATTTAGGTATTCTTTTATGCATATAATCTTTTTGAAATAATTACATGATCATGACCAAAATAAGATTTGCATATAAAAATTTGATCTCTGAACTATGGTGACTCCGGTGGTAACTTTAGTCATATAGCTTATGTTTAATTGTCACATCAAATGACAATGACATTATATCCATAGTAATCTTACTCTTATCCATAGAACACCCGTGTGATGCACGGCTGGTGAATTTTTCACATGTTTAATAATTTTAGTCAAATTTAAAATAAAGAATAAACTCGTAATTCTAAATGAATCATTTACAAAAAAATGTGTTTCACCGGCGCGATGCACGAATGAGTGTGACATTGTTCTCATTTTCAAAATTAAAGTTTATACTCGTATATGTTATGTGAAGGTAAATTTTTGAACATGAATTGCGTGACCTTACATTTATGACTAAGTAATGACTAAGTAATAGGATAACCTTACATTTATATGAATTGCATATTTAGACGAGTTGTCTTTGTAAGTAGGCAAATTAGGGGGTGCAAATATATGTAAAAGTGTGTTATGTCATTCTTAAGCACTACTTAAATACGAAGTAAAATTTTATGGGAAATGTTCAAATAGGTCCTACTATTGTAGAAGACAGATCTAATAAAACACCCGTGCGATGCACGGTTGGTGAAATTCGACCCTTGTAATTAACTTTACTTAAATTTGAAAAAAACTTGTAATTTTAACACCTGTGCGATCCATAGTTGGTGAAATTTGTCCCTTGTAATTAACTTTAGTTAAATTTGAAATAAAAAAACATGTAATTTTTATTAAATCATTAAGAATTTAATTCATACAATAATAAAATTTTATTTGACGTGAAATGAAACATTTTCTAATGATTACCCTTCAGTCTTCACACAACCACTAAAGTTGATAACCACATAAAGTTCACTATGACTGAAAACAGGGGTTCTCAACAATAAACCAACACATGATAACACTATTTTTTACTTTTATTTATAGTCACAACATAATAAATCATGTTTGTGTATCCTCACATCCAGAAAATATTGAATGGCAAGCTAATATATGAATGTGTTAAGGAATACTTGAGAATTAACACATTTTGTCTCGCACTAACTCCTTTTAAAATCTCCTTTTCAAGCAAAATTTTAGCAATTTTTTCCATATACAAAGGTCTATATATTTCAGTCAACCCCGGTCAACCCGATCGGGGTAAACCCAATCAACCCCATAAGATCAGTCAACCATATATATAATAATACTTCGTAATAAACATAAAATTGTGTACAAAATTAAAATAAAAAGTAGTTATTTCATAATAATCAACAAATAATAATACTTACTAAGCATTTAAAAGTTAAATTAGCCTCATAATATTCCAAAATCCCATTTTGATATTATTAAAATAAATAATGATACTACGTATCTCTTATTTGTATTCTACATTTACTATATAATTTTCAATCTATTTTATCCGTAACAAATAAGTAGTATATAAATATGTTGCATTTTTTGGGGGTATTGAAATTAGAAATTTATTGGTTGTAATTGCTATAAAGTTATAGAGCCGTTTGGTAACACTGAAATTGACTAAATCAGCTGATTCTGCTAATTTATGAAGAAAAAACATTTAAATATTTTTATTACTAAAATAAAGAAAATTACATTAAAATAGCAAAAATGAAATTCTGCATTAACTTCTGTCAATAAAGTCAGAAAGTAACTTCTATCTTACTTTTTTTAAGATTAAACAATTCAGCGCGCTAAATCAAAAGTTACATATTTGGTGAAAAAGAAAATTGATAAATTTGATAAGCCGAAAAACAGGATCACCAAACGATTCATCAATGACGGGGAACACTCACCTAAACTTTATCCCCCCTTTAATAAAACTTACGTAGTAGAAGTACGTAGTATTAACAAACAAAGAAGGATTGAAAAATCGTGGCTCAAAGTCTAATAAACAAAATAGGTCCAAGGTGCATAGGCCCAAATGGAAGAGTAACCCTGGAACAGCAACCGTGGAATAAATCCCTAAATCAAAAGAGCCCAGCGCAGCATCACACATCTCTAAGGGGGGTGTATTGTATCTGGATTGTGATAGACTTTTTTTAATCCATGGACTTTTAATAAAGTTCACCGACTTTTAATATGAACGACTTTGTGGTAGACTTTTATATGGACTTTTATAGATTTATACGGACTTTCATAAATCTATTGACTTGTGTATTAATAAAATTGGTAGACTTGAGTCCGGCAATTTTGAAGTTTTTAAGATGGGATTGCCGCAAAGAGGACTCTCTTCATACTTTATGGATAAACACAGCGACTCCTGAGAGTGCGTTAATGCTCTAGGTGGTCTTACCTTTGCCTTTTCCTTTTTGGAATAGCTAAGGTTGGGGAATTTGTATGGTATGGGCAGTTTTAAAGCTAAAAAGCAATAGTGATGATATAGCTGTTTTTAGACTCTTGCTATTGAAAAGGATCAGATCGAAAAGATATTTATATATGCACATGGTCTTAACTCTTAAACCATCCCTACCTAAAAAGGATCAAGCTGAAATGAAATCAAGTAGTAGTATTGTACAAATAATAATAAAAATTACCAACAATGACCAATCCGTTTACACAAAAAAAAAATGAAACAATATTTCTTCTACTAAAACAATAGATTGGACATTATTCATCTTCATGGTTGTCATCTCACTCATTTGTCCACATTTGATTAGCAATGTCCATCCTCCATTCATTAGCTTTTGCTCTTTGCTGATCTTGTGTTTGAAAATCATCCCATTCAAAATTCTCCTCTGTATCACTATCTTCTTCTGGATCTGGGGGGAATTCATCAGACCGGCACTCACGCCGTAGAAAATTATGTAATCCTGCACAAGCCAAAACTAATTCCGCTTGTGTCTTATACGTAAACGGTGGTGCTGATTTGAATATTGTGAAGCGTGATTTAAATATTCCAAATATTCGTTCAATCACGTTCCTTAGAGAAGCATGACGAAGATTGAATAACTCAACTGCATTAACGGGGTGATTTCCTTCGCCGCCAAAATCTTTAAGGTGATATCGGGTCCCTCGAAATGGAGCTAAAAACTGACGTCGGTTTGGAAACCCACAATCCCCTAAATAATATTTACCTATGCATGAAATAATTATACGATTAGTGTGGTATATGATATGTAAATATAACTAATATTAAGAGACTATAAAAGTATATAAAACTAATAAAAGGGTACCTGGTGGCACTTTGAGACCATTTTGCCTCGAAATTGCATCATTTAACACTTTAGAATCATGAGCTGAACCCTCCCAACCGCTAAGCACATATATGAATTGTAAATCAAAATTGCAAGCAGCTAGCACATTTTGTGATATAGTCCCATGACGATTTCGGTAGCTGCTTACCTCTCGTCCAACTACTGTTGCTGGAATATGAGTGCCGTCTATAGCCCCGATACAATCCTATAATATGAAAAGGATAAATAAATATAATTTAAAAACATATTTCATTGTGTTTTTTGAAATTCATAAATAGCATGAAATGTTGTACTATTACCTTAAAGTAAGGATAAAACCTTGTACTTTCTCTAATGACATGTGGTACTGACTCAGGTTTAGCCATAAACTCTGGAGCTATTGTATTCAGTGCTTTCAATACTTTATTGAAACTTCTGCTGACAGTGAAGTGTGACCGCTTAAATATCATTTTCGGTTGACTATAGCGGTTGTTTTGACCAACAACAAGCAAAAATGTTGCAACCATTTCTTCCACACAAATGAATCGTGTATCCGTCAAAGGCGTTTTGTATCTTAGGATAGTGCATAATTTTCGGAAAATATCAGGATACATTCTGTATACATCTCGAAATTTTTTTGGGTCTTCAGTCATTATTTCATCCATATATTTTAACCCGTTAGACGTCACTGGTCGTCGTGTCAATGGTCGTCTAATAGATTCATCATTGATCCTTGAAGCGAGATTATATATCGCGTAAATCACTGCTTCTATTGCCAGTAGCAATACCCTAAGAGTCCCATAAAACTCTACCTCATCTTCATCAACTCCATGTATGCTTGTGTCAGACATTGCTAATAAAAAACATAAAGACATGTACTGTTAAAACATACTCCGTATAACTGTATTATATGATCAATGATATATATTAAAACATATGAACTGTAATGATATAAACCAAGTTCAAATAATTCATATAATAAAAAACATAAAGACATGTACTATTAAAACATTAACTGTATTATATGATCAATGATATATATTAAAACATATGAACTGTAATGATATAAACCAAGTTCAAATAATTCATATAACGTTTTAATCCTGCATAAATAATCAAAGCATCCACAAATTGCAAAAATCCAGAAATTACACGAAACTCCATAAAGTATGTAAACCAAAAACTCTATCACTAATGCAAATAAACCTATTACATATGTTTATAAGCTAGTGATCCAATGATATCGTTGTTCAGGAGTCATCTTCAAAAAGAAATCTTGCTTTGCTTTGGTATTAAGCAAATCAAGAGATCTAAAGCAATCCTCGTTGGTTAATCCAGGGGTCTCCTTCATAGCATCCAAAAGATCACCCTCTCTTGATTCTCTCTTCTCCATTAAATAACAAATTTTATCAAAACTCTTAACAAACAGAGTATCTATTTGAAGTGAAAGTAATACACTTGGTACAAAGGAGATGTGAATTAAAAGCGGTACCCATTAAAAAAACTCTGTTTATTTTTAGACGTCACCTTGTCAATATGTCTCCAAAAACAACAAAATAATGATCTCATGGAAGGTCTCTAGTTACTGCCATGGATCATGTATATAAGTATTTATACATACAAGCACTGTTCTAACAATCGGCCTAGGCGGACCGATTAATTGGCCTAGACGGTCTAGTCGGTCCTAACTGTAGAGGCCTAGTCGGCCCAGTCGGTCAAAAAATCGGCCTAGTCGGCCAAAAAATCGGCCTAGTCGGCCGCCTAGACGCTAGGCGCCCCTCAACCGCCCGACTAGCGCCTAGCGAGTTTTAAAACAATGCATACAAGTGTATTATATCACAAACAAAAATGATTAAACAAATAACAAAAATGATTAATATCACGAACCAGAAATTCGAACACTAACATATGTGGTTCAACTTTATGAGCCTAATATTTGGTTTCAAAAAGGGTATCAGATCATCTAGAGCCACTTTTAAAAAAATAAGCCCTTCCATTCCCCTTCTATTCAACTATGGACTAACCATTTATTTTATTCCGTCATTCGATTCTCCCCCATTGCCACTTTTATGTATTCAAGTGTATATATATAGGAAACAATGATTGATTATAACCAAAGAGGAACGATGATTGATTACAAAAAAACTAGGCAGCCAGGCAGAAGTAGAAATTACATAATCACAACATACTTGAGATAATTGTTCGTGATTATACATACCCATGACAAATAGAAAATATGATTTTTAATGGAAATATTAGTTGGAGAGGAAAATCATCAAAAAAGTATGGAGAAAAAATTCGAAAAAGAAGTAGGGTGGAAACTTACCTGGGAGGGAGATGTTCTTGGCGAGGTGGCCGAGAAGAAGAGAAGCGAGAAAACCCTTATTGGGAGAAAGTAACGTGAAATCTTGGGGGGGAGCACGAGAGAATTGATCGAAATGAGTATTTATACGAGTAGGTCTCAAATCCATCGAAATCCATTATTTTGTAAATCCACCAGATTCGTTAATATTTTGAATACACCTGGATTTTAATGGACTTTTAAATGTCCATATTCAATACACCCGGATTTCTAAAGTCTATGGACTTCTAATATTTTGCCATCAAATCCCAATACAATACACCCCCCTAAGTTCCAGCCTTATCTTCAGAATATTCGAGAGAGAGCCTCTTCTAAGTTCCAGCCGCATCTTCAGCCGGGGTCATTTAGATACGCTTTTTTTTGCCATGGTTGGGAGTGAGTCGAGTGAGTGAGAGAGAGACCCGGTGGCCTGGACGATGGATTTAGCCAAGAACTGTGCAACAGCGTTGGCTTCTCTTGGACGATGGCAGAAGTTGATGCCGTAGGTGATTCGGTTGCGGTTGTTTCTACCCAGTCTTCCGGACGCCGGTAGTCAGGTACGGTTTCAATCCCGGTAATTGATTTAACACTACGCAAATCCATTTCATCGAATAATTGATTTTCATGAACCAAATACCTAATAGGATTCTACACAAACCACAACATTCACAACCTACGGATCTGCCAAATCTCTAAACATGGTTCATTAGTTTTTTTCTTTCATTCATTTCTGTTTATATATTACGGATTACTAACATATTATCTTTAAAAAAGTTATATTTAAAAATTAAGTAGAAAGAGTAACTCACCGAACATGTTAAACTAAAATGGACATCTCTCCCCGTATATGCCTTTAACCAATTTTTTTACTTCGATTTACAAAAATTTAAGATGAAATATTTCTGTCTCAAACCTGAATTGATGAGAGGATTTTTTGAGCATTCCCAAAAATTATTTTGGAAATAATATTAGTCGTTATACTACCATCCTAAAATGAGGAACGGTAACCATTTTGTTTGTGAAAAGTCCACATGCAATCAACATCCGGAAATCCCTTCATTTGTCGGTTGTTAGATCGATTATTTATTTGTTCTTTGGGGATGTTCAACCTGTTAAAAAACCAACTACAACTCTCTAACATTTTTAAGCTATGTATACATAAACACTTGATATAAAGCGGCCTCCAACTATGGACAGGAAGCACCGTAACAACTATAGGACATAGAGATCCAACAATTAATAAAATGGTGCCACAACACAGACATGTAATTATTTTAATTTTTTATTACACTGCCGTAATGTTTTAAAACATAAGAAACGACTAATTATACATTTCGTTACAGCTATCGGTGGAAGATTCTACCAAGAGGCCGTGAACTTCAACTCTGATCTCTCTGAGCGGGAAAAATAAAAATACAGTGCAACCGGAAGGTAAAGCTTGTATTTGACAAATTAATGGTTTTGACAATTGAATTATAATCTATCGCAGATGTAATCAAATCATTTAGTCATTAGGAAATATTGCTGCTCCAAGTACCATGCAGGTGTGGAAGGTTGTAAATAAAGTGCCATATGAATGGTAAAATCGTATACCTGTTCTTATATAGTACTGATGCTTGGCCTTTACACCTTAAAGCATATGGTCTTTTTATAAACATCAGGAATGTTCAAGGCCTGGTGAAAAATAAAATTTGCAGCACAACTTGAATGTATAACAAATTTGACCCTCTTATTCTTTTTTAAAGGCGCAATCAATTTTATAAATGAATGAACAATAATTTACTTAATTATTTTCTAAAATGAATCATTTTCTTAATTTACTTCATTTCTCTGTCCGATCCAAAAACAATAATTTTCTGATTAGTAATGAACTTTGCTATTTGCAGGATGGAATATTGGACTTCATTAGCATGCATCTCTTATTGGGTCAGTTTGTGATACTGATTTGTAAAGTTTCTTTGTAATCCGTGATTGTAAAGTTTGTATCTAATAAATGGAAATAGGTTAGAAATGGGAGAAGAGGTGCAGCAACAGAGTTCACAGGTATGTCTCTCAAAAATCTATAATTTCCAATTTTCCATTTTATTATACTAAGAGAGCTGCAGCTTTCTATCTATCTATCTATCAGTAGGATCTAAAAATATAATATGATTGAAGTCAATAAAGGAGAATGAACATCTTTAGCAATTGAAATTTCATCCCGAACTAATATGGATATGAGATGGATCTTTCTGAAATCAACTCACTCTAGGTGAGAGTTCCAATTAACATCTTTTAGCTTCATAGACATTCTTCTCCAATGTCACAATAGAGAAATAGAAAGCCCCATCACCAGGATAAAAAACCAAAATGTTCTTTAGAGAAAAATCAAAACTTCCAATTTCTTTCTTGTCAATGTCATAGGTAAATATTGCAGCCGTGGGCTCTTGGTGTTGTTGCATCTGGGTACTGGCAGACTCATACATGCTCCTAGAGCCCTGTAGATATTAAAACTATTAGTTTTTAATATTCCATTAAAATATGAAAAGTGAATTAGAAATGATGATTTTTTAGTGTTTGCAAGCTCTTCATAGTGAAAAACTTCGTAAACTTTGCAGGAAAAAACCATCATTAGCAGCCTAAAAAAACCCATCATTTGCAGGAAAAAATCATCATTAGCACCTTAATATAGCAACCTAACAATTAAAAGTTGAATATGTAATAAAAAAGATTATAAACTACGTACCTCCTCATGGCACAAACCTTACAGTTTTGATTCACTTTCTTATTTCCTCTTGTAGATGCAAAGAATGTGAAATGGCAGAGCATTCGTCCTGCCTTTGTAGGTGTGAACAACATGGGAATCCCATCTACATCACTGTGCGCACCTCCAAAGCTAACTAATCAAAACAGACTGAAGTACTCATTGCTTGGATGGAAGTCATGGAACATTGTTTCCTTCAGATTTCAAAGCTACAGTGGCCTATTAATAAAATCACATGCAAGCTGCATGTGAGGAGAACTGAAGCCATTTATGAGCATGTATTTGCAAGCTATGAGATGTGGTTGTTGGAACCGCAGGGCTGCTCTATTTATAATATCTGAACTGAAGCCAAACAATCAAACCCACGCAGTGTGCACCACTCCCTCCACCAATTAGAATTGTTAATGGGGTTGGGGGGAAAACTGCTCAACAAAATTTGAATTTTAAACTTAGGCTCCAAATCAACCAAAAGATTTTTCCCAGAGAACTCAGCCGGGTAAGCCCACTTGCGCAGAATAAAAAAATGTTTAACAAAAATACTGGCCAATGAAAACAATCCAGGTGGCATGGAAATCCTGGAAAAATCCTTACTCCTGTGCACCAGCTCACAACTTGAAAATCAACCAATGAAAAACCATTTAGGAGATATGCAAATCCAAATCAAATCAAAACAGTAACCCAAGGCATATCATCCACACGTTAACTCATTCATCATTCGAAAATGAATCAGCAATTAACCATAAGCCTTTGAAAGTGACATTTCTGAGCGGGAAATTCAGCCCCAAAACATTTTCCTTTTAGATTATAATAGATTATCATATACTTGGTATCTCATAAAAATGGGATTCTTTGTGTCTTTCTGCAGAAATGGGTTTAAAGTTATTTATGAATTGTAGTTTTCATACTGGAGGATGGTTAAGATTTGTGTGATGAGATAAATGACATATGTACTGAATCATCTATAGTAAACATTACTCATTTATCATATTTTCGTTTTTATTGCTTTGAAGGATTTTCCAGAAAGTAATTGAAATATGGACATAGCTACGCTCACACCGGAAAAGGAGAGGAAGAACATTTTAAAATGAAATGATGTGGGAATGTGCATGAAGATTGTATATAATGAAGATGGAACTGAATATGTGCAATCCCAGGTACACAAATGAGAAATGACCTTTCACCCACAATTTGTCTAATTTGCACCGTATTAGCAACCTTTCTTCTGTTGCATCTAGCATGATAAAATTGCTTCACAGGTTAGCTCTCCTTACTGTTTTATTTATATTTATGGTTACAACTCTGGTACCTTTCTAAAAACAGAGGTACCGTACCTAGCATTCATTTGATTGGATCACATCACTTTATCAATTTTAATTTAGATTTAAATAATTCAACTGCTACCTTTTCATTGGTCCATGTGGACAAAAGTACGGTACCTTATGGGTACCATAGAAATTACCTATATTTATTTTTTTCTAATGAGGACATTGTGGCCAGTCATAACGCATTGCAAGAAATTAAAGTAAACTGATGCTAGATTTAAAGCCAATTTTGACATCATTTCGAAGTTAGTGTTATAAAGCAGTTTTTCTTTTTAGAATATTAATTATAAATATAAATTAAGTAAATGGAAAGAATTCAGTGATGTAAATGGTGAAGAAAATGGCAGGTTTGCAGTTGGGCAAAGATATGTAATTTCCAGATTCCGCCAAGGGTTACGTTAAAATGGTTTTTTGAAAGCTCTGTGTTGGATATCTTCCGACTGATAACTTGGCTGCTAGGAGGGTTAATCGTTCTTTACTTTGGTGTCAATGTTAAGTAAATCTGTAGGAGCTGCTTCACACCATTTTGTTTTGTCCGATTGCACAACAGGTTTGGAGGGTTTCAAGATGCAATTTTCCTGATCTTGGAATTCCTGGAAATGCAGACTTTTCAGAGTGGGTTGCCAACATTTTTTACCAGATTTGAAGAGGAGATGCGTTGCAATTTCATCATGTTACTATGGGGAATTTGAAGAGCTAGGAATGTCAGTTAATGGAAGCATGTTAATTATAACACCAGCTGGGAGGATAGCCGCAGGTGCCATGAGTTTTTAAAGGGCCGGAGGACTGCTCAAGTACCTTCCAGTAACACATTGGAGCAGCTGCAAGTTTTGGAAAAGTGGGAAAAACCGAGGGAAGGAAGAATAAAGTTAATACATGATTGGGAGATATAAGTGTCGTGACTAATGAGATGATTAGATTTTTTTATCAACTTGACTTAATTTTGGGTTTTATACAAAATATTATGTGTTTAAGTTTATATTTATATTATGGAGTTTAAT